GAGTATTTTGTAATGACTTTATTTGGCACCATGGTTCCCTTTTTAAGAGAATAAATTTATTGCCAATTAGAATTGGACTCAAAATATTCTCTGATGTTTTTTTTTCCCTTTTATTGCTTTCTTTAGAAGAGTGGTGCTGGAAAAGTATGACATGGTTACTTTCGCTGTTTATTTTAGTAGCCTGTTTAGTCTTGTATATATGAATGTACATACATCTGAACTATTTTGTCTGTTCGTGTATTTTTGTTGGTTGGATATCCAAAGGAAAATAGTGAATCATTGCTGCTCATGTTACAGTGTTGTAATTTTCACTATACATTTGTGTATGGTAGAATATGTTCCGTAATTCTATAGTGCCTTCGTCTTCCTCTGCTGAGCAAAACCAGTTTAGGTACTATTGTACTGTTTTTCGTCTTGGGGGTTAAATGCTGATGTGTTTACTTGTTCCTGTGCTGCAAAAAGTTGTTGGGTTGGCAGAATGACCAATAGAACACCAACTTAAAATGAAGAAATATTAGTAAATAACACTAAATTATAGAGACTGTAGTTCCTAAATCTGCTACACATCAGTTGCTAAAACTAAATCCTATTACTCATAAATGCTAGAACTAAGTCATCAGCTTACTAGAAAAGATTCTTCAATTGATGGGTGACTGCAGGTATCAACAAAGCCGTACCATTATCTTTTCTTCTGATCCAAACAAATTCGAACTTTTGCTTTTGGCAAAATGGATAGTTTTACAATGAACTGCTGACCAATCTAGATCATACAAATTTGGGTTTGTTGCATTGTTCAACAATGTGTTTTGTCGTGGTTAATGCCTAATGATCAGATATGTGATGGTCTTCTGTGTTTCTCCCCCTTTTTATTCTTTAGACTGATACAAATCAATTGTTCTAAAATTGCTTCACTTGGTTTGATGTCTGCAGATAATTGATGTATTGGAATTTCTCCCTTCACATGTAGCGGTATGCCTCCTCCTATCATGTAGCAGTAGTTTCCCATGTAGCTTATCCATGTCGTAGCTGTGTTTGTTCTTGGCTTTTCAGTTGTTTCCTTAAATCCACAATATAATAACAAAAACACTAGTAATGGGATCGAATACTCGTCCTTACCTCCCCCTCCCCCCTGAATTAGGAGAAAACACAACATTTGCTTGACCCCATATACTTGTAGACGGTGTAGTTTTGATTGGGTTTTGCATGACAAATGATTTATAACCAAATTCAGTTCTACAGAGGGGCTTATGCTGATATTGCAAAAACTAAAAAGAAAAAGCAAAGAATAGTACTGTTGAAGACAAGACACTTATGATTCACTTTCAGTTGCAAACAGCTAAATGCATGAAATTTAGGCTAGTACGATCAAGAGTAACATAAGATATAAGATAATGTCATAGATTTTGGGAAGGGTTGTAAGTTCTAATAGATTATAGTGTTGAAAAGGGGTTTGAGAAAGGAAAATTTGAACAAACGTCGCCGAGGATTTTCAAACAATGATTGGAGTTGAACTCATAGGTTAAGAACTAAGTGAGCACACAAATCTTAGAATGCTCCTTTTTCTCATAATATTACGTCTCTAAAAATTCAGTTGAATCAATAGTGTTCCTGGACAGCATATTTGGGATAGCATGGTGAAGGATAATAGTCGTATAGCTATACTGCTTGAGACTTGTAGTCATTCACGCAACAGTGTTACCGTTGTCTTCTTACTACTATTTCTATTTTCATGTGAAATATACACATCATTTATTTTCCTTATTTGATTCATGTGTCATTTGATTTATCCTCTGTTTTTTCTTTTTGCCTTTTGCATACTGACCTGCAGCTGTAGCCGTATTAGTTCTAACAGAAGTGTTTTACTTGTGTTTTGTTTCATCCCTTTCCTGTACAGGTGGTTTTTGACCATGATGGTAAGATTTACTTTTTTGCTTAATTTTGTTGTCTTTGATTGATTCCTTATTTAATTCTTAATTGTACTTGCTTTAATTTTCTTTCATTTTTACAAGCTTCTTGTGTCCCTTCTTATGTCCAAAGCTAGGTTATCTTAGTTAAAGAGCTGACTGCACACACATATGACATATAGATCGTTCTTCTGTCCATTTTTAGAAGGATGGTGATTGAATTTTATTGATTCAGATCTAAGATTTATGCTTTAACTTGGATGTTGGATCCATACATATATGATCAAATATTGTTTTCCACATTATTTGTGTAAATAGGTCGAAGTTAATTTCAAGCCTTTTAAAATAATAAAAATATTTTTCTTGTCTGGTAACCGTTGAAGTATCATTTTACATTCCAGTAGAGAACCTCGCTCACTTTATTTAAATTGATCTAATGGACTAGCCAAAAGTTTTCTTTTTTTTTTTTAAAAAAAAATTTGGCGCTTGGAGGATAAAAGGTGCCGGGAATTATCTACTTTCAGTTTTGGATTGGATATTTGGTGATCTTGATGATAATGTTGCAGTGTGTCAGTGTATGTAGCTTAATACATGATGAATGCTCCTAGTAGAGCTCACCACCAAAAGCTAACCCAAAGAGATAGACAACCCAGTAGCTAATTGATGTTGGACAAGCATGAACTTCTTATACTTGCCCTCATGTAGTGTGCTGAGCAAAGTGGGCCAAGTCCAAAGCCAACATGGCCTCCAAACAAATAAACCTGAGTGCTCGTATATCATGATAAATGGACCTGAGTAGAACTCGTCACCAAAAGCTAGCTCAAAGGGAGAATGTGGCTAGCTAGCCCACACTTACACACCATTACAGCGTAGTAACCAAATGATGTGGGATAAACAGAAACTTCTGACATTATGTTTTGAAAGAAACCTAGGTGGTGACAATTTGATAAAGAAGATTTAGAAGCATGCGATAGGATGTTGTTTCTTCTTATCATTATAAGATCGTTGCTTCAAGACTAAAGTAGAAGAATCGTCAGATTAACAGTTAGTCTCTTTTATTGTTTGCCTTCAATGTTCAATGCATGCTAGTTTAAGTAGGGAGCTTAAGTTGGTGCTGCTAGCGGTTCTGCGCTTGCTTGTCGAGAAAGTTCAGGAATGCACTAGATTGAGTCTATACTCTGCAGTTACCATAAATTTGTTTCTGAAGGATTACTATTATTAGCCTTGAAGCTCAAGTTTTGTAGATCACCTTGTGCGAGGGTGGATATCAGGGTCACTGAATCTTCAAGTTTCATTGAGCTTTATTCCCTCTACTCAAACCACTCCTACAAACTCGTTGAAGTGAAAACAAAAATTTCTGAACAATTTCTGTATAAAATTCTATATCAAGTGTGCTTATCCTAATAGTCTGTAATACATGGCCTTGTTCTGGAATGTATTTGAATACTTATAAGATTATTTGGCTTTAGATAATAGTGAATTACTTAGGAGTTTTTGATAGAACGGAGATTTTCCTTACAGGGGTGCCATATGGTCATGCTTCTCTTTCAACAAAACAAAGTTTTGTAGCGAAAGGTATGCTATTTGACTTTTCAGTTTCTTGTCTTCACATGTGTTAGCACAAAATGGAATAGTTGCACCCAATATTCTGAACTGTCGAGAAATGGTTATGTTTAATTGGTGTAGCAGCATATGAAAGTAACTGATATTTGGGTTTTTAGTTTTGCATGTAATGTGGTCAAACCTGGGCCTTCTTTAATGGTGATTACTTGTAAAATTTACTGCCTTTATGGTAATGGAGAATAGTTGTTTATGTGTAAAGAAATGTTTATGTCAGCATAAATGCACTGTTGAAGAAATTCGTATCACAGTATCATATGCCTGATTCAACTCACCAACTCCAAGCATTAGACCCATGAATTTAATCAGCTCTGATCACCACTGCATATTTATTTACATTTCACTAAGCTTTATGCTTCATAACTGTCCGTAAAATTCATACCCTGAAACAATCAATCCTAAGATTATTTTTTCCACTTGACGGGTAACCAACTGTTCAAGTATTGAAGCTTCTTCCGAGTTACTTTGATCTGAAAGTAGGTAGCTTTCTTCAGCTGGAAGTGTTTAATGGGTATATGCCTATATGGCAGGGCAGTATTATTGTTGAATGTTGCATCTTAGTTTTAACATGCACCAGTAATGGTGACCAGCTGGTGTGGACTTGAGAAACTACAAATCTTGTACAATGTTTAATGCTTCCTCATCAACTTTTAAAGCTCATGTTTAGATTCTGGATATCTGTGGATGATTCATTATTGCCAAAATCATCAGTTTTACTTCCTCAACTGGCATTCCTCTGAAGTAATGTCTTAATGATTTTATTGCCGTTTTACTTTTAATGAGCTACTTCTGAGGGGCAAATTTATGAAGTAATGATAAAAAACAGAGAAATGGCAATTTTTAACTCCCAGATTCTGTGCCAATCAGAACTGTGGCTTGAATTCTCGGATGGTGGTACATGCGTACTCTCGCTTTTATTTGTAGTTAAGAGCAGAGCATTGTAAATTGTATGTTTTTCATACTTGCTGTGTAAACAAAGGCTAGCTATTTAAGGTGTAGGAATTCCAATTATTAGCATTTGTAAAAACACAGATGCTTGGTCAAATTTCTTGTAGGCCTGAATTTCCGCCACACTCTATATCCCGCTTATAAGAGCAACCGGCCTCCAACCCCGGATACAATCGTGCAGGGCCTTCAGTACTTGAAAGCATCCATTAAGGCTATGTCCATCAAAGTAATTGAGGTACGATAGTATGCTGTCACAATTAAGATAGCCGATTACAGATGCATATTATTTATTTGATTCTTTTGAGAAGGTCCCAGGTGTTGAAGCTGATGATGTAATTGGGACCCTGGCCGTGAGAAGTGTCAATGGTGGATTCAAGGTATTTCCACTACCCTTTGTTGGGAACATGTTGATGATCCAAAGAAGCCATGTTTAACAAGTTTTGTTACTGTGGGTGTGTATTTGGTTTATTCATTGTAAAAAGGTAGCAAGATTTTTTGGAGTCTACATGACTAGCACCGCCGTTATCTCTTGAAGTTAGGTCTGTATGCTGATGCTTTGTATCCTGCATTTTGGAATTCCTGTATCAAAATTGTTATATTATAATTTGATTCAACATATAGCGACAGGTTTGGATGTTTGGTTTCTGTTGAAGCTTTGTTCCGGTTTTTGTATTGTCCTCGAGACTTGAAATTCAGTTGGTTGTACGTTGAAATTGCCCCATGAATATATAGTTCAACGTTATATGTAAATATGTAGTTCATTCCCTTGACGAGAAGCTCTTGTTCTTACCAGCGATTTTTCTATTTTTCATTAAGCCATGACTCTTGCTTGTTTAATACAGGTACGAGTTGTCTCCCCAGACAAAGACTTTTTCCAAATTCTATCTCCTTCGTTGCGTTTATTGCGGATTGCTCCTCGTGGATTTGAGTTAGTATTAGTCTTAGCCTTCTGCCCCTTTGTTAATTATCTGCGCCTGCTTGATGTATAATAACCTGTCTTCATTTATATTTTTGCCGGATCATGGCTGTATGAAGGTTTATCTTTTCCCTAAATCCTCTGTAGCCTAAACTAACATGATGCAGATACAAAATGTAACAACTTCTTGGATACACATTCATTTCTTTACAAGACAAGATAAACAATTTCTTTGATACACATTCATTTTTTTTTTTTTTTTTTTTTTTTTTTTTTTTTTTTTTTTTACTTTTCAAATTGGAATCGAGTATCATGGAAGCTCTTACAATCATTCAAGTTTCTGTTTCATTAAGCCTTATATATGATCATACTGTATGATCGCTCTATGATTTCATAAGTGATGGTATCCTTATCTTAATTAACAGCCAACCAGTTGATTCAGCAATTTAATAAGGTCTTATTAAGCAGATTGATAGGACTTGTGATGATATTTTGAGATGGAATAAAGGCTGTAATTACAGTAACATGGTGGAGGAAAGGTAGGTGAAAGTGAAGAGCAAAGTAAAAGCCTTAAAGTAGTAAAAATTGATGCATTGGACAGTAGTTCAATAAAATAATGAGTGGCTGAATACTATGGACGGATTGCTGTTGCTATTTTTGTTCTTGCTTAAAATCAATCTCCATCATCGGTTTAATCACATGATGAAAAGTGCATTTGTCACTGCAATTTTAAAGACCACTACATTTTGAAGTAAACCTCTTTTCTGCCTATGATTCCTAGTGCAGGACATTCTAAGATCTTATTTTACTATTTTTTGTAGTGTAATTTGATTTTCTTTTTCTATCTTATTAATGATTATAACTTTTGATATTTTGCAAAATTATTTTAGGATGACCTCTTTTGGGATGGAAGATTTTGCTATGAAATATGGAGACTTGGAGCCATCTCAATTTGTAGATGTAATCTCACTTGTTGGAGACACTTCTGACAATATACCAGGTCCGTTTGGTTTCTAGACTAAAATAACTACCAAGGAAAAATATGCACAGGAGAACACTCTTACATGTATGCCTGCATTTATATTTGTCGTATGGAAGCTAATCTTTGCAATTATTCAAGTATTGCTTTCGCTAGAAGCATAGAGGTTAATATATGCTTGTGTTTTGTAAAAGGGCCATGTTTAAGACCTAGCCTCCATTCTGAAACTTACGTTTAAGTAATTATAACGTGTAGGCTTAAATATTCAGTCACAGTAATGTCTCAACTGTGTTTTCTGTTGTGAGCACGAACTCTGTATGTATTTGGGTTAAGGTTTCGTTTTGCTATATAAAGGATATCCATGAATTGGCAACTAGAAATACATTGCGATAATTATTCTAATTTCTCCAGCGGCTTGGTCATCGTTGTGGATAGTAGTGATTGGGTAACAAGTGGTTTCTGTGAGATATTCTGATTATGTTTTTGATTAAAAAAATAAAATAAATGCTAGACTTGAGTGACCTATATAACTTCCTCCCTCCTTCCCTTTTTGATTCTTGCAAGATGTTATATATATTAAATATATATTAAATATATATTAATATATATATATATATATATATATATAACTCAGTTAAGGTACTTGTGAAGACTGGGTTTTCCTGGCATTTAATGTTTCCATATTAGGCATTAATAAATGCAGCTCTTGACCTTGCGCCTTTGATCAGTTATCATCAGTTGTTAAAAGTTGGAATATACTGCTTTCCTGACCAAGATATTTGTTACCACTTCTATTTACTCTGTTTTAATTTCGTGATTCAGTAAAGTTGGTGGTTCCATCTAGAGACCTAAAGAATTTGGCAAACTGATTTATTATTCGCAATGCAGGAGTTGACGGGATAGGGGATGTGCATGCTGTTCGACTGATTACAAAATTTGGTATGTCGATATGCAAATTTAACTAATTTTAGCAAATTTGCCAAGCCCAATTCGTAGTGATATTCAGTTTGTCAATTTCTTCGTGATTTATTTCTCTTGGCACTCCTAGTCCTAGATATTAAAAGAAAAGGATTGGAGAGTTAACAGCCAGAAGTTTTTTTAACCTCACCAAATTATGATTTTATAAAAATCTGCGCAGGAGATTTTTTTATTATACCATATACTGATAGCATGAGCCTTCATGGACAAAGGGATACAATGAACAATCAAAGCATGAACTAGTCTCGAAAACGTATGCGTGGGAAGCTTAATTATCTCAAAGTCACATCTCTAAATTTATGCATATGAAAATTTTTATGATTAAAACAAAATCAGTGACTGAAGGAGTAAATCAAGGTGGGTAATGTAAAATATTCCCACTCTGCTCAAGGTGGTGAGATTACATCACATTCCACCTGGATAACGATCTATTGATGTCCTGCTATTATGGAGAAATTATTGAGAATATCCCATGGGCATGTATGGGGTACAAATCAACCTGCTCTGAAGCTTTTCCGTGATACACAGCCTATTAATCTCAATTCAGTTCAATCATGTTGCTCTGAAGTTGCAGTGCCAGTCACTGGCTTCAACTTTGTCTGGTCAAACTGCTAAGCTGACTGTGTGACATGAGTGTTAATTTATTTAATAAATCATTTGTTTTTCATTATGTACTAAGCTTCCCCAGAAAGAATGCTAAGTTTTTTAAATTCAAAATTTGTATAATTCTTTTCCATCAAGTTTATTGTATAGTTGCTAATCTGACTCCTCCTAATTTCTATGTCACTAGGGACATTGGAAAATTTGTTGGATTGTGTTGAGCAAGTTGATGAGGAGCGAATTAAAAAGGTGAGCGAATTAAAAAGGTTGTATAGTTATGGTGGAATTTGTTTGCTTTTGTTTGCTACTTTTCTTTATTACCTTTAATGTCTCTTGCCTTTAACAGTTGTCGTTTTTCTTTTTTAGCATCAAATTTTAAGTACATATGCTAAAATTATAACATCATCCAGCTGGAGTTTCATCTTTGTTACCAACATTACCTAAAGTCGTTACACCTCTGGATTTAATGAACGAAATTCTGCTTTATTTTAGCTCACGCAGCCAATCATGCTCTGGTTATCTTAGTAGTGGCTGTCTCATTCAGTAAAGTTATCAGAATCAGTTGTTCAGATTCTTCAAAATATGCTCTGGTTATCTTAGTAATGGTAGAATTTGCAATCCGCTTTTCATGTTGCGTTTTTAGATTAAATGGTTATATCTATATCAAACATACAAATTTCTATTTAATGAACAGAATCTTGTCATATATATGCCAATTCCCAAAGTAAAAGATGAAAAAGATCTTCAAGTTTTCGTGAGGTTATTTGTATTCATGTTTGTAGTCTCTGACTCTGCCCTGTGCTCTCTCTCTCTCTCTCTCTCTCTCTCTCTCTCTCATAATCTGATTTATCTTGAATTTTTCTAACAAATACTCTCATGTTCTGAAAATTTTGTTCTGATTTTTCACTTCCAGACACTGATATCAAACTCTGAGCAGGCAATTCTGAGCAAAAATCTTGTAAGATTGTCTACAGTAGGAGATTCATCATTTGAAAAGTATTGATAATTCTAAATATCCAAGTACCTCAATGTAGGCTATGCTGCGGTCTGATCTCCCCTTCTATATGGTTCCATTTACCACGGATGACCTGGGTTTTGTCAAACCAGAGGTGAGTTCAAACGAATTCATTTTTGTTGTTAAAATTGAGAAGCATAATCAATGTGTAACTCCTGTTTTCAAAGTACAAATATGGTCCTGTGAAAACTGGAAATTTATTTTAATTCCTTTTCATATATATATATATATCAATTCTTTTCTATGGCTTCTTTTAATACTTAAATTTTTGTTTCAAAACTTGATTTTTGCGATTTTTGAAATATGTTACCCACATTGAAGTCGGTTGTGTTCGAAACCAAGTTTTTCAGACACATTGACTTATATAATTATTTTTCATTTTGGTTTTTGTTAATTTTCCATGGTTTTTATTATTTCATTGAAGTTGTGATTGAATTAACAAAAAACGAAACACACTATTCAAAAAAAAAAAAAAAAGCAAAAATATTCCATTCATTCCAACTTACTTTCTCTTCCCATTACCATCAATACGATTTCAAAATAAAATAAATCATTACTGCATGTTTTCCAACAAATGGTGTTATTCACATATTTCCAGTTACCAATCATTATCAATTACTATTTAACAGTTTTTCCATCACATCAACTCTAATTATTACATTATGTCTTACTCTTCACAATGTCAAAAATATTTATTTCCTGCTTATTCTATTTTCAATTGTTCAGGCAAGACAATTTTCCGAAACTTCATATATCCTATCGCAACCTTAGTTTCCGGAAAAGAATGTGCAGTTGTCCGGACAGATAGCAAGCTAGATTAGAAACCAATAGAAAGTTATCACATGAGAAATAGATATAACCTTACCCATCTTGAACAATTGAACCTTAGAAAGGCTTACCTACATTTCATGATTTTTCACACAAATAGAAGGGCACACGAGTGTACTTACTTTAATAACCACATAAAACGATTTCGGTTTCACATTTGGCTATACAAGCAGACTGCTGTCAGTGTTGTGTGAAACGTTAAGGACTTGTTTGTTTACAAAATAATTGAAAAAATATTCAATCCTAACTCAAAATCTAACTCAACCTCACTATCCTTAACATTATTAATACAATAAAATAATATTAATCAACTTTAATTCACTATTCATCCACTCACAATCTCACATAATTTTAACTACCTATAACTTCTAATCATTTAACTCTTACTTTTACATCAAATCAATTTTAATCATTTTATTTTAAATACTATCTTAATACAAATTTAAAATCCTACAAAATACTAATCATACTAACTTTTTCAAATTTAAACTTGGTTAACACAACAACAACAAAAAAAAAAAAAATAAAAAAAAATCATCACAACCTCAGGTCTTGACATTGTGTAATTTATCAGTGAAGTTCTGTGGTAGTTCGACAGAATTACTTGAGACGATTCTTATTAAGTTGTCAATGGTGTATTTCAGGACAATGGTGAGAAATTCACTAGCCTCTTGACTGCCATCAGTGCTTATGCTGAAGGGTTTTCAGCAGATCGTATAATTAGAAGGGCCTTCTATTTGTGGAAGAAGCTCGAAAAAAAATGACTCCCAATAACACAGACCCCGAGTACTCTGCTCTTACCTCGGATGAAGAGAATTCTGAAACGTAAAAAGTTTTAGCAACTCCACTCAAACTCTGATTGCTCTTGGTGCTTTTTGCAAAAGGGTCATTTTGACAAATTATCATGAGGGTGCTCACTTACGGAGAAATTTGAAGTCCATCATCCGGAATACGTGTGGCTTCAGAATTCGGATTCTTTCTCCAGATGAAAAATGCAGAATTTGTTGCTATGGTGTTTATATAGCTAGTTGTAGTTATGATCTAAGGTAGACATTTACTGATAACTGATGCTGTAGCTTTTTTTTTTTCATCACTTTTCTCAACTCTTTCGCTCGTCTTGTTTAAGTTTGTTCGTCTTGTTTAAGTTTGTTCAACGACTATGAAGGTATGGCATTAGCTACAATCTTTTTTAGGGGAAAAATGTAAACTGTAAACAATAACGTTGTTCGACTTCTTTTCAAACTTTCATCCAAAGAATGTCATACTTAAATAATAGCATAACAAACAAAACTGGGAACATCATAGTTATTCTTTTAGAAGATGTAATGATGAGTCGACTCATTCCATTTAACTGATGATGATACGATGAGTTACAGTAGAATGTGTACTTGAAACAAGTGTTCCCACTTCTAAGCAAGAAAAATACAATTTTATTACCTTAATATGTACCCTTTTTTTAAAAAAATAAACTCCATAAATAGAGATTTAAGTTGCAATGAAGCAAGCAAAAAAACTATACGAAACCAAATGGTGGGATCAAAGCTGTTTCTTTATGTTAGTGG